GCTCCTTGTACCATATGAAGTCCAACTCAGACAGTCTGGCAAAGTGCTGCACCAGCTGGACCGCATTTCTGGGCACTGCACTCCCCCAGCCCCTACGAATAGGAGCGTCCAGGCACACTTACCAATCAGCCAGGCACAGCAACCCCCTCCTGGGGCCCCCCGCTGCTCCTCTCCCCTAACTGCTCCACCAGCAGCTCTTCCTGGGGCACTAACTTACTACTTTGTTCCTTCCCAATATATCATTCAAAACTACAGCACCACATTTATGGAATCGCTCGCATGAGCCTGTGTGTGTCAAACTCTCTTCTGCTCGCCGTGCCAAGAACAGTGAGAGGACTCTCCCAAGAGTCCAGCACCCAGTGCGGAGCTGCACACTCAGGCGGGGCTCAATGAACGCAGCCATTATCACACAGAGGACCCAATAAACATTCACAGAGTAAAATTAGAATTTTGGAAGCCTTACAGCTAGAGCTACAAAAATATCCTCCCCTTAAAAAGAAGGATTAAAACCAGGGTTTTGTTTGGGGGTTGTTGTCTGTTTACTTTAAAATCCAGGATATTTTAAACTGTCCCTAGAGTTAGTGTGCATTTAAGTATCTATTTAAAGACCAGTAAATATTTATTAAGCAGCTTTTTAGAATGTAATTTTAAACGGCTTAAAGAGCTGATGGCCAAAATTCCTAATGAATATTGTAATTCAGTCTCCAGTAAGTCCAAAAGACATAAAGTTGCACATTTACACTCACACACACACTATACCACATAGAAAAATATTCCCATTATCAGCAGCCAGAAAAGGGAGGAAAAGCCAGAACCTACAGTACACACTACACTGGTGAAGATCTAGCTAGAACGGCAGCAAAAGTCCTACGATGGTATGTATGTTCCACACCCCAATCCGCAATGCTTTTCAGTATTGTTTACCTCCAGGGTAAGGGACTCTGAAGTTCTACTTTTCTCCTAGCTCAGTGGAAAAGGGAACAGACTGTGAGCCAGGCACCCACATTCAAGTGCACACACTTTCCAGTAACAAGGAGACGACAAGTAGGTCACTTGGCCTCTCTGCACTGAGATAAAGGAGAAAAAGTCCCACACACAGTACCTCCCAAGGCTGCTGTGACAAATAACCATGTGAAGACATGTTTAAAATCCCAGGTGTAGGGGCCAGGGATATAGCTTAATGGCATGGCACCTGCCTGGCAAGTGCAAGGTCCTGAGCTCGATTCCCGGTTCCAAAAATTAAAATAAAATCCCAGGTATACAACTAAGACCTCTATAGCTCTTCGGCATGATTATTATTGTACATGTATAGAAATCTTCCAGAACAGTAACTAAAAACTGTTCAAAGAAATTGGAGAAGACTTGTAAGAAGGAAAGATGGAAAGGCTAACATTCAACTTTCAGCCTTAAAGTACAGAGCGAATTTTTGTATCTCTTAAACAGAGAAGAAAAAACACCTGACAAATACCACACAACTGAATTCTTCTGCTCCTGTGTGACACAGTGGCCTCCTCTCTCAATGTCCAACCCTGCTCTCCTCCCTGCCTGTCCCACCCAAGCCACGCCCGGTCCCCAGCTCCTGGCTGACCCAGCTTACAGCACCCACTCACAGCCTCGGCCACCATGGGAGCCCAACCAGAGCACTGCACCCATCTCCGACACCTGCGTTCCAATCATACACAGCTGTGCACCCCTCAGACCCTGCTGTGGGGTGTGCACAGGGGATCCCCCACAGGACGCCAGAGGTAAATATTAAAGCTCTGCTCATGATTTCCAGGAAAAGTAGTGCACTTTTACCAGCATTTACCATACAAATTACCACCAGCACCTTCTTGGCCTGGACACACACAGGCCACATGATGCTTGGGTGATCAGAGCATTGGGTTACCCACATGTAAACTGAGTAAGAGGGGGGCATCTCTCACCAAGAGCTCAACACTGACATCCTCCAGTAACTGGATATCTGCATGCTGCAACCATTGTGCTTGTGCCTGGTGAAGCAGATTCATATATTATATGATGCATTCTTACCCAAGTTGAAATGCATTAGTGGGCTTAAGAGTATTTCAGCAAAGAAACCCAAAATTGAAAAACTTGAGTATAATACTGAAAATATAAACAAAAAAAGTAGCCAAGTTGACTCCTTCATGCATTATTCCTTACATAAAAGTACAAAAAAAAAAAAAAAAAAATGATACTCTGATTGGAAGTTTTCATTTAAAAAAATAACAATGCATTCCACTGACAGTAAACATGATACCTTTACAATGAAGCTCTCAACAGATGATTCATATACTTTTTTTGTCTTTTTGAGACAGGGTTTCACTATGCAGTTCAGGCTGGCCTTGAATTTACTTTTAGGCCAGGGTGGACGCAGATTTGCAGCGATCCTCCTGCCTCAGTCTCCCGAGTGCTGGGGTTACAGGCATGTGCCACCACATCTGGCCTAATTCTTTTTTTTTTTTTTTTTTTTTTGGTACCAGGAATCAAACTCACAACCTTGCACTTGCCAGGCAGGTGCTGTGCCACTGAGCTATATCCCCGGACCCCCATTCATATACTTTAAAAGGTAAAAAAAATTGAAGATATATCTTGCACATGTATGACTAAAAAACAATGTCAATTAAACGTTACCAAGAATAATATGATCAGCCAGATATTCATCACAAGTGTTAAAATACTTTTTTAAAATACATCTGAAATTTGGTAAGCTACGACAAATTCTGCTTGCACACATTAAGAACATTGAGGTCAAAATGCTACTGATGGTTATCCATGTTCAAAGCAAGGAATCCACTGGTCTCTATACTCTCCCAACACTACACACCTGTCCCTTCTATTAAGAAATAGTCAGAATGTATCAAGGAAAATAGTCAAGCCACAGAGGTGAAAGGGGAGGAGACTGAGAGTGTGTTCCTCCAGGCCATAGAGAGCCAGAGATCCACTCAGACAAGAGATGCTGGGTTCTAACTAGAGGTGAAATTCTAGGTCAGAGGAAAGTAAGAACCAAGAATAAAACAGGATCAAGTTGCAAGGTTGAGAATGAAAGACAAGTAGTCTTCAAAGGTGGTTCCCCCTAGTTAGCATGAGGTTAGCAGCCTTAGCGAGCAGCCCTGCTCACAAACACTATAGCTAGTCAGAAACCAACAGTAAAATCTAGCTCAGTGTATGCAAATGGGTTTTCCCACACTTAAGGATTTAACTCAACTTTTTTTCTTTTTTTAGAGACAAGGTCTCACTATGTAGTTCAGGGTGGCCTTAAACTCATTGTGCAGCCCAGGCTGGCCTCAAACTCACAGCAATTCTCCTGCCTCAGCCTCCTGAATGCTGGTATTGCAGGTATGTGCCATCACGCCAGCTTAACTTCAGATTTTTAAGTAATCAGTAACCAGTAGAGGTAACTCTCTACATATAAAAGAGAGAGAAAAAGCTGATCAAAGGCACAAAGTTCGCTAAATGGGAGGACTAGGTTTCAGTGATCTATTGCACTTCACAGTGGTCATGGCTAAAAATAATGTATTGTATACTTCAGAAATTGCTAGAACAGATTTGTAACATTCTCACCCGAAAAATATAAGGTGGGGAGGTAATGAGTAGTTAGTTAGCTTGAGTTGATCTGTACAATGCACAATGACCAAAACATCACATTGTGCCCCATAAATTTATACAATTATTTCCCAATTTAAAAAACAAAATTTAAATATATAAAACATAAGAAGAAAATCTGTAAGTTTTTTTTTGAAAGTTCTTTTTTATTAACCACTACAAATAATTTTTAAAATACAGCCACTAAAAGCATAAAAATAAGTTCTTTCAATATGATTTGGAGTTTTCTTATTTCCAATCCTTCTACAATAAGAGCTTTAAACTAGCTGGACTGGTTTAGGCTATGATTAAAATTACTTCAATTAAGAATGATCAGATGAATAAATTAGTTTGCCTTCCACAGAAAAAGTATGAATTCAAACAAGTACTCATCAAGTGCTCCTTATATAAAAGAACTCAAGAAGGTAGGACAGCAGCCAACACAGATAAGACTATCTCCTTCTACAAAAAAATGACACACCTACTGATTTCCGTGTGTGGACAAGGCAAAGACATCTACCCTCTAGTTACACGAGACACATTCGAACAAGCATTCTGGCAGCTATTTGAATGAGAACCACATATTTAATTTTATAAACTTCTCTGTTTAAGAAACTCTTAAAATGAAGTACAATAAAAACTAATGAGAGATTGTTAATAAAATCACTACAAAGGTAAGGGAATACACAATTGGTATTCCAGGGGGCTTTACCTTCCACATGGAATATAACTTTTTCATAATATCACCTAATAGATAAAATATTCTTCATGATAGTAGTCCAAAACTAAAAAAGACTATCAGGAGAAATACCCTGATCAAAATGAATTTTCCTACAAAACTGTTAGAGCTAACCAATGCTATAAATGCTGCTTTAATTGATGTAGCCACTGACTTCCAAAGGAAGCAGAGTAGGATAATTACTCCTGGATAAACCTTTTATTTTTCTGATACATAGGGACATAAATCCAATACATTTAAATGCAAAGCTGAAACTCATCTTAGTCTTAAAATAGTTCAAAATAATGTTGACAAAAATCTATAAATATCTGGATCTTTTTACACCCCAAATTAAAATAATTTATACTCAAACTTTTCAATACATTATTGCAAAAATGAGGAGTGCTCAGTATTAATAAGCTTCAGAAATTATCATTACAAAACCACATCTACAATTTCTTAAGATCACTAGGTACACAAGCTCTGCCTCTACAAAAGCTACATAAGCGACCGTGGAAACTTTAAGCTTCAGGAAACACGGTCCAAAGCTTTCCCCCACCCCCTCCTAAGAAGAACTAAACACTGCAGTTCATTTTAGAGCTCTGAACTTTAATACTGAAAAGATTTTTTTGTCCCCAGTGCTGGGAATTGGGCCCCAGGCCTCATCCAAGAAACAAGCACTCTACCACTGATCTACCTCCCCAGGCCTTTCTAAGCGTGGACTGCGACCGGGCCTCACTATGTCTCTCAGCCTGGCCTGAACTTGCAATGCTTCCAGACAGCATTTTTTCAGAGGGGCATCAACAACGCGATCACGTGTTACTCAGTAGACACCTGTGTGAAGAAGAAAACAAGGTTTCTGAGTTCCCTCTCGCTAGGTCCTATGGGCCATGTGAACTAATTTAGCACTAATAAAGTTTTCATTTATCACAGGTGCGAGGAAGCAACGACAAAAGCAGACTGACTCTTGGCCCAGAGAGTGGTGAACAAGAGCAGGCAGTAAAACGGGTACCACAGCCTGGTCTCCTGGCAGGCAGTCCTGTCCCGAGGGAGGGAGTGCGGCTGACACGTGCAGGACACACATGTGGGACACTCCACATGGTGCGTCCCAGGGGCCTGCTCCCCTTGGTTCATCTGCGCTACGGGAAGCTCTGTGCGGGTCCTGTACGGCCAGGAGCTCTGCAGCTCTGATCGCGTGCAAGGCCAGGAGCACAGCTTCGTTTCCTCCTGACCCGCTCATCGGTGCACGCGGACGGGGCTCTAGTGCCCAGCCTGCCTCGGTCACCTCTGGGACACACTCCAGCTCCACTGCTGCGCCTCAGCCTCTGGACCGCCGGTCCTCCCCCTGCGCTCCCCTCCATGTCCTCCCCAGACTCCCCAGCCGCTGTCCAGCTCCCTGACCTTCAGCACTTTCCACACAGGCACCTCCTTGGTTCCACCACCCCCACCCCAGGGACACCCCACCTCCCCACTCCACACCCCGTCTGGGCCCCTGAGAGGAGATGACACTTCGAATGGCCTAACTAGAACTCCTGACTCCCCTCACTTCTCCCACCCTTGTCTGCAGCTCAGGGAATGAGCCAAAACTCAGAGGTCATCTCTGGTGACCCCTCTTATCGGCCGCACCTCCAGCCAGCAGTGACCCCACGGGACAGATTTCTCCAGGAACCCAACCACTCTCCTCCCCCGCTAGTAACCCACTGGGAACCAGACCTTCCACGTGAAGTAGAGCGCTGGGCGAAGAGCAGTGACAGAGAGGTCTGCTGCGTGTCCCCCAGACACGGGAGGACTCGATGCACTGAGTGACCAGTCAGTCGCCCCTGCCCCTCGTGCCTGGCTCCCCCTCCTCACAACGCCGGCCGGCATCAGTTCCAGGCCCTCCTCCCTCCCGTTCCTGCTCACAGCCCCTTCCATCTCGGAGCCGCAGCGGCCTCCCTTCACCTCTGACACCTCTGGTCAGCGGCGTCCCACTGTGGGACCCCTGCCCATCCTCTGCCCCCTCCCTCTGTCAGCTCTTTCTGGACCTAACTCGGGGGCCCATCTTCCGTTCTTTATGTTCTTGTATCCTAATCATTCCCATACTTAAAGTAACTGGCCTTACACAATAAATTGTCCAGTGCTTCAATAGTCTAAAACTATTAGTGCTTAAAATATGAAAATCCTTAAGTAATAATACTACTAAGTTGGAGTTTGAAAGTTATCGGAATGATCATTTTCTCCTGTTTTTAATGCACAATTTGTGGGCACTAATTAAGCTCTAAAATGATTTCAAGCCTCCTCTCAGAATACACATATTTCTTCCAGTCATCCGAAAAATCATGATTCCCTAAAGCCTTCCCGTTCAGATCGTACATGAAAATTCACAACATCATAATACAGTATCAGCTCACCACGTATCATCTGGCCTCAGATTAATTTACCAGCTTCATTCAAGCCAAGAGGTGATCGAATTCCAACTGCTCACCAAGTTCATTTCACAAAAGTCATCACTGAAATTGAGATTCAGGCTCGCAGCCCCAGGCTCACTATGCCCACTTGGCTCTGGCCAGAGTGACCTACACTGTTACCATGGTACCCCTGGGGCCGTCTGAGAAGGACAGCAGAAACCCTTACTACTGGTGTAAGCCACCAGCCAGGGCCATGGTCATTATGACATCGCTCACACCCACAGCGGTGCATCAAACACAGCAGATGCAAGGCTTGGGGCAAGGAACAAACGACACTCTAGCTCATGTATGTGTTTCTTGTGACAGTCTACTTTTAACACGCTTTGAAAGGCTCTTCCACCCCAAAATGTGAAGAGGAAGATTTAGTGTAACCAGCTCTCAGTAAACACTCAAAGCATTAACAAATCATTGTACATCTCCAAAGGTGAAGGGAAACACACTCCTCCTTCACCCCCGCACTGAAACTAGAATACATTTTGAGCACGCGGTTATCGCAAATACAACCATATGCACAAAACACAAATCCCTCATTCTGCTTACAATTAGCATTCTAGCCATCTTCACCCCAGGAAAGGTGAGATACGTAATCTTTGGAAAAATAAGGAAATACTGTTTTGTTTTACAACATAGTTACACCTAAAGCTAACTATTTCAAAGTAGGGATTTTCTTCAAATCCTCAGAAAAAAAGAACTCAACTGACTGGGAAGTCCTGACTTTCGTTATCTTCTCATGTCTTAGAAACCAAGCAAACTGTTCACTAAGTATAACTTTTAAACTAATTTTAAATAATTCAAGTACTTGTTTAGTCAAGATGAGAATGGGGAAACAATAAACAAATACATCACTGTTATAAAAATGATCCTTTCTCAGCATATAGCTAAAAAAAATTGTATTGGAAAGGTATGTATGTCCTGATTTACCAATCATTTATCCCTGCCAAAACTCAGACAAAACTCAGGCTTTTGCAAAGACACACTGTGCAAATGCCCTGCGCTGGGGTAATTTACAGCGTCTTCTTCCACTCTACTCTATGCCAGAACAAACGCACAGCGACTGCAATACAGCATCCAAGTGCTTCCCTCACTTCTAGACACGGAGAAACAATGGGAGCCTGCGGTGCACGCCCGACACGCCTCGTCAGGACGGGTCAGGTCTGAGAGGGGCCACCGACCTCACAGATGGCTCTGGGAGCGACGACGGAGCGGGCTCGCTCTGCAGCCCCTGGGGACCAGCGGCTCCCGGGCTGAGGTCACAGACTGCAGAGCCGGCGGTGTCCAGCAGGCAGCAGAGCCTCAAAGTGCTGTCTCCTCCCCTCAACAAATAATGCAAACCAAGTCTGCTGCTCCTCACCAAACTCGCGCCCACCTCCAGCGCTACCGTCTGCAGAAGTGAGCAGCGTCTGCATCAAGGGAACGATCTCAAGCGCAAACCCGATTTTTACAAGGTACCCCGCCTCCTTAAACGCTGCGTCTCAAGCACCTCGCTGGCCAGAGCTGCAGGACCTGAGATTTCCGAGCTGTCCGGGCGGCGGGGACCGGCCGAGGCTGCCCCGAGCCCGGCGCTCGCGCGGTCCCCACAGGACGGTCCGGGGCTGAGCGCTGAGCCCGGAGCCCGGTGCCCCC